ACACTATTATCATTCGATTAAATGTTAGTTAATGAGATTTCATTTTTGAATTTTACCAGTTCTTTTGTAGCCCTATTATATAAAAAATTTGAATAATACAACCTTGCTTTCTAATTAACTTGAGAAATTGAGAAAGAAGTTGTAAAAATATAATTTAAGGAGTAGCTATGTTACAATAAGATAGAAAAAAACTTAACAATTAGGTATAGAGAACCCTTATTTATATCAATAAACTCTGGTCTTACAAAATGAACTCCAAATTAGGAAAAACAGTTCCATCTCAATAGTTACAATGTGGCTTTTTCAACGTATTGTCAACTGACTTTTTAGTGAATAGCTCCCCTACAAGTAATTTATCCAGAAACGTATATAGAAAAGTAAGACAATACAAATTATTATTTGACATTACTGTGTAATAGACATGTTGCTCAAATCTCTTCTGGACTTTTTTAAAATATATATTTTCTTTTACTTTTAATAATACAGCTTTAGTGAATATAAAGAATAAAAAGGAATACAAAAAAAAAAAAAACACATTTCAAATCAGGTATACATTTGTATAAGCTAATTGCTCCACATCTGATAATCACAGGATTGAAGCTATGCCATCTCTTTTGTGATATATTTGTAAAATGTTCTCTGTAAATGTCTAATGAATATGGCTGAAACACTCAATGAATTATTAAACTACAAGAAGCATCTGCAGCATTGTTTTACTACGACAACATAACTTTTGGTTACGTTAGCTGCTCTGTAATATGAAGTAGGCTTTTAAAACTCTACATGCCTGTTGTGTTGTTTTTTTTTCCCAATCTCAAGCTCGTAAACCAGCAACCCAAGTATGACAACGATGTTTGACAAAGTTAATAATCATTCATATTGATGATAACTGCTGTCCTATCCAAGGCTCATGCTGGTTTTGTACGGGATAGTTGTGTGACTGTCTGCAAAATTCATAGCTTTGTGACTCATTCTGCGGCATTCCCATGCATTGTTAAAACATTAGAGAGTAGCATTTTTAATTAAACCTTTCACTGAAAATATTTTTAATTGAGGTTCATGGCAGAGTTAGAGATTTTTTTTAGAATTGCTTTTGTTCCATTAAAAATAAATTGGAAATGCGTTATGAAGAAGAAGAAATCACATAAGAAGAAAATAAACAAACATAACTCAAGACAAACTAGAATAGAATAGGTCTTCATTACATTAATATATCAAACAATATGATCTAAGCTTAATTATGCCCTTTGAGAGTTGGGAAAACTAAGCGCAAGCTTCAATTTACAGCTGTTTGGTTTCCGGGAACCTGAATTATTATATATGATTTTTTTTAATTTTTTTTTTATTATTATTATTTATTATGACCTGAACCTGCTTTTTGTACATGATGAAAAATATGTATATTCACAAACGAGAGCTATTCATCTGCAGAATGCTGCATTCTTCAGCTGTCTAGAACTGCATCAGTTGCACTCCCTCAGCTTTCGTGTTCATATTTAAGGCTCTTCATCCAAATTGTTCATCATCTTGATAGCAAAGCTCTATCTCGGTTCTAGTGCAGCTGCATTTAGCCTATCAAAAGTGAGATACAAGGGAGCATTGCAAAAATAAAAGAGAAAAGGAATAGCCAGTACACATATGAGGATAATTTGTACCTTATCAAAAAATAAAAAAAATGTAAAAAAAACGGAGGACAGGCTAATTACTTGCTTAACTAGGGCAGTCTATAAATTATCATGTCAAATGTATTGGCATAATTATTTGCCATCAAAGCTCATTCAGATTTCAGCCTAAATAAAGGGATTTCATAAATAGATTTCAGGTAATATTATGTATCCAAAATTAGAGAAAAATAAAGAGGGAGTGTAGTAATTGGGACTAGTTGCATTTTGATACATGCATTTAATTGATAAAATATGGCTTTATAAACCAGCCACATTACATTGATGCTAGTGTAAGGAAATTCATAAACCATATTTTCCATTGTTATTGATATAATATAAATAATTATAAATACCAAATAATTGAATTTATAAAGTAAACAACAAACTGTGTATCATGAATATTAATAGTATTCCAGTATATACAACACTTTACGAGCAATGTTTGTAGTGAAAACAATATTGGAATAATTTAAAAAATTCATCAATTCTGACCAAACACAGTATATTTAGTTATTGGTTATAACAAATGATTTATTTTAAAAGTCATGATTTCAATTTTATCTTTTTTATTCACAACTTCAAAACCCCATATATTTTTTATTTTTATTTTAAAGAATATTTGGTATGTTTTTCCTTTCAGCACCACATAAAAGAATAGTGAACGAAAAAGGTTACTTGTAACAAGGACTGCACCAGGTTTAACTAGTTAGAGGGACAATTAGCTGGTCCTTCTAACCGTATCATTTGTACCAGCAAATTGGCTATTTGTCTGTCTAGGAAAGCCATCTATGTATTATGTCATTGTGGTTTCTATGATTTCCCATGGAGAAGCATTGCTTAGTTACGCCAGCTAAAATTTTGTCGAAATCAGAAACAAATGGCGCTCCCGATATGTTTTTCATAGAGACGTAAAGTTCCAATTTGGAGTATAAGATCAACAGTCCCTGCCTTTATTGAACTACATGTGTGATTTTACAGATCAGCCATATATTCCACATTTCACTTTGCATACATTTGGACCAGGATTTTGGCAGGCTTGGTTGTTCCTAGTCTCTCTCTGACGTTTGCTGTGATTACTTTGGTTGGTGTTCATGGATGGAATGATTATTTCTACTGATCTATATATTGGGGGCAAGTTTATCTGTATTGTTAAGGGCATTGCACACTGAATAAGGGTTTAAAGTTAAAGGGTGGCGCCAAACCCGTGCAACAGAATTATGCAAATCACCAAAGAAGCAAGAAGACTAGCAAAGGGTCAATAATTAGGAAGGAAGTAGCACAACAAAAAACAACTCACTGTAAGGCACAGTACTTCCTAGCAATGAGGAAGCATCTGGTGTGGCTTTATAGAGTTTAGCTGGGGTACACCCACTTTTAAATCATACCTATGTCATCGGCGTCACTCTTGCATCATTCCACCCACCTCCATGCCCTTGTGACATCAATTGAATACAAGGACAATGTCTGTTGCAGCAAAGAAGTGAGATGAATGATGCCATCCAAACTACATGGGCATGACATCAAATGTCACCTTGTCTCTGAGAAAAAAACACTGCTAGGACCGTACGTCATTTGCTAGGATGATGTCTGGCGCGAGGACATCTCAGAGGATGCCTGGGATCTCACTAGATGCCCTCAACGGAAGTGGATAGGAGGGGTGCACAGGCCCATGATAAGCAAGTACTGTGGAGAGGAAGGAGTGACTGTGACTGGAGGTAACCTATTTGACTGTGTGGAAGAAGGGCCACAATGTTGTAGTACCTACAGTTACAGGGTTTCAGATTCTCAGACTTTTATGTTGCTTATTTTAGTTAAGCTAATTAAGGAATCTCTTACCATGCCATATATATTTATTGTTTGTTTCTCATCATTATACTTCTTTATATTACGGATACACTTTGCTCTAAACACTCAACAGTGAGTCTTGTATCCAAGTGGGTAGCATGACGCAAATCCAACTCTTGATTTTTAGAATGAAGATGGTTGCTGGGATCTATTTCAATTTTTAATTTCTTTTATTCTTGTCCTTAGAACTATTTTTATTCAGACGTAGGTAGAGCATAGTACAGATTTTAAACCTTGCATGAGTCTAATATCTATCTCGTTTGCATAGTCATGTGTGTATTTCACTAAAGTGAGAATTGCAGGGAATGTAAAGTGATTTGAAAGTAAATTTCATAGAGATGGCCATAGTAGCTGTACTCCATGCATAGCTGACTGGGAGAATTGTTCCAGTAATTCCCACATTAGCGAATAACCCTGATAGCATCAGCATGTAAGTTTTCATACTAATTCATTGTATACATCCAAGTATGCTGGTATCTTTTCTTTCTGGGTTGTCATATCCCTTGCTTACTAAGTAATTTCGGGCCTCTTTCTTTTTCTTTCTTCTGTTAAATGAACACCATAATCATCAAATTATCTTATCTCCTGCATTGTTAATAGCCTTTTACACTATGCAGGAGTGTCAATTTACAGTGCAGGAAAGAAAAACTTCTAAAGCAAGTTAACATCTAATTGAAAATGAAACCTTTTTTTTTTTTTTTTTTAATTCTTTATTTTTGCAGTGCATGAAAATGATACAGGCAGGCTTGAGGTGCCCCAAAAGCAATCCTCAGGCTATTCCTCCGCGTTACATGCGGGACATATGTCTATCAAGCACAATTTTTTAATATAAACATGCTTAGTTAATCATACTTTAAGCTGTAAGAAGTTAAGATAGCTAATTCAGAATCGTTTTGTATGAGGATGTGACATAACTAGGAGTATTTCTATGTTGCTTGCCGAAAAACCTAGGCTGAGAACAGTACAGGTCATGCATATATATATATCAGTAGCTGTACAGATAAAGTAGTACTCCTAGGCTTCACGTGGCTTACAGGCTAGGCCTTGAGCACTTAGTGCAATACAAAAATCACCATTTAGCAGTAGATGCCCAGTTTTATCAGGGCATGGGCACAGTTATACAGTAAGTTGCTTGGAAGTTATCTTTACAGAACAGGCTGACTAGGCATTAAATCTGAGTAACATTCTATCTTTCGTGGTTTACTATGAGTGCAACGAACATAAGATCACCAATCTCAAGGTCTATTCATGCTGATGCAATAACATTAACTGTGTGATTCTTCGGTGATAAGATTAAACATCTAACGCCCTATGCTTAACTAATAGAAGGCTAATATAAACAAGCGTGAGTAAGGTATACTGTGGTTGGCAAAAAGCATTTGTCAGCACATGAAATCAAACTGGTATGCAGCGGTCACCGGCACGGCACTTGCATCTGGACCCGTGGGGTGGCGTATGCGGGTCATAAGAGAGTTTGTGGTGAGTCACTATTTATCCTATTCCTTCTGTGGGAATGCGGCTGAGGCTCTCCGGTTGGTCCAGAGGAGGTGTTGACGCTCGGCCGGTGGTGGGGGTGTCCCTCTTGCCCCAAGCTGGTGTGCAGGCCTGCGTCTTCTGGCCTGAGACTCGGTGGCACACGTTGCCCGAGTGTCTCCCCCTCATGGGGGTGGCGGGAGGTCTGTAGGTTGATTGCCGCTTGTGTTTCCGCCTATGTGGCCGACGCCTTCGGGTCAAGGCCCTCTTGGCCTGCAGCCCGGGTGGGCCGGGGTGGGTGAGTGTCAGCTTTTGGTCTCGTGCTGCGCCCGAGGGAGTCCCCCTCTCGCCCGGCCGCCCATAGCTCCCCTCTCTTGGGTCCATGGGATCCTGTCGCTTTGTCTTGGTGCGCTGTTCGCGCCGCTGGAGCTTCTCCCAGAAGTCGTTGAACAGCGCATCCAGATGCTGCATAAGGTCTGTGCCGCAGTAGGAGCTCTGCTTAGCTGCTTCAAGCTGAGTTGCTGCGAGTACTCCGCCGCCATTTTCGATGGGCCACGTGTCGCCGGCCCTGGTGTCCACACGCTGTGTATAGGCTCGGACTGGGCCCGCGGCGAGGACCGGGATATCCCCCACCGGTCCCGGGGGGGGGGGCGGGCAGGATGAATGAGGGTCGAAGTGGTCGTGGAGCAGGTAGGTGGAAAGGAGAGCGGCCGTCTCCCCTCTGCCAGCCATCCTGTAGGCCTCGGTCACCGCAGTTAGGGATCTCGGGTGGTTAGCTAGTCGATTTGGGTGTCCAGAGTTGCCCCCCGAGGATCCCAATTCAGTTATGCCCTTTAAAGTAGTTCTGTGCCAGTTTTACTGGGTATTTTCCCCAAAATCAGGCAGATAATGCAGGAGCTGGGTTTCAGCACGTCCACTCTGCTTGGCAGCTAGGCTCCGCCCCCGAAACCTTTTTTTTATGCAGTCTGTGTCCGTGACAGCAAGGGGAGGTCTGACTAAAGCTGCATAAACAGAAACAAAAGTGATTTAACTCCTTAATGGCAGAGAATGGGGCAGTGAAACTGTAGGAGTGTGATCTGTACACTAAAACAACTTAATTAGGCTAAAGTTTTTTGGTGACTAGAGTGTCCCTTTAATGTCAGAAGAGTCAGAGACACAGACAGATAGCAAGTTTTAATGAGCCTCTTCATCCCATGATAACAAAAAGTATCATATTTAATATTTATGAAATGTATGATAAATAATCATGCCTGTGTATGCAGTTTTCTTTTATGAAAGAAATGCTAAGATTTATAAACCACATCTGCAGAAGCATATCTTGAGTTTTCATACTCTTTCTTTAGTTCATAATGAACCATAGTTAATTATTGAAATTGTTCACTAATATACTTGTAAAAGGTGCATGCCTTTTGATCTTGTTTTTATTAAACAAACATTTCCAGAAAAAAAAAAACCCGAAGGACATGTCCTTCAGCAACAATACTTTAAAATGTTTATGAATAGTTAAGCTTTCAGAAGTGTGTTCTGTGCTTGATATAGAAACACACAATAAAACCATGCATGGCCAAATGATTGAAAACAGAAAGGAATTTATAAAAAATACACAATAGATTAAGTGACTAAGTACAGCCTGATAAATGTGTATATAAATGTGTACTAAAATATTGTAGGCTAAGTGGACATTTTGCATCCAAATAGTAAATACATATTTAAAAAAAAAAAGATAAGTGCATGTTCATTTTATCTACATTCATAGAAGCATTGTAAAATCATACACAACAACTAGCATCGAAAAGTCATAAATGGAAATATTTTTCAGAAAGCAGACAGATATATGGTAATAGAATTTAAAACAGAAAGGTATAAACAGGAGTTGTGATCTGGCAAGATTTTGAAAATACTGATGTTGAAGATAATTATTCTAATAAGATTTTAATGAAAAATCAGTGTGTTACATTGAACCGAGTACCAACTGGCAAAACTTTGGTGAAAATAGTCAGAAAAATCTTCCACTATGGTAAAAAAAAATACTAAAAACTGATACTTTTGTAGTCATATGTAATGTTAAAATTCTAAATTAATAAAAGTATGCATAAATTGCTTATGTGAGGACCTGACATCTGTTGACACTGATTGCCTAGTCTTCCTACACAGCCTGGAAGCTTCCTGTCCAGGGCTCTAGCTTTTTAAAAAGGGGGTACTGGTGGCTTTTCTATGAGTGTCTCTATTGCACTGGGTGTCTCCTTAGACTGATTTTTTTTTTTAAACTAAATGTGATGAGTTCTGTTTTTTTTTTTTTTTTTAACATATCTCCTTGGTCTATCTCCTTTCTGTAAACATTGCCTCATCCTGTCTTACCTGTCTAAAATTCAGTATCTTCTGTTGACATGACCAACAGATACTATATACTCTGTTTATAGTACAGGATGTGACATGTCTAATCCTCAAACAGTATAGCAACAAGATATCCACACTGCTCCAGGCAAAATTAAATGACCACGTTGACCAATATTCAGCACTTAACTTACTGCCTGGTTTTCTAGGCTACAGAGCTGTCTTCACCACGTCTGTCCAAGGTGTCCTGAAAGCATGTGAGTTATTATTAGACAAAATTGCCAAAGATACGAGCTCTCCAAAAAGTATATTTCATCAATTACAAAAAGGGTTCAATCCTGGAACTCAATTCAACATAACATTTATTTATCCATAAAGAAAAAAATAAGTTCACCTAACAAAGGGAGGGGGCAAAAAAAGAAAAAAAGAAAATACAGAACCCCCTACCCAAATAAGGAGATATTTGTATTATTTTTTGGATAAATAAATTTTGTTTGATTGAGCTCCTGGATGGAGTCCTTCTTTCAGTTTGATGAAATATGGTCCTATGGAGAGGCAGTTGAATCCACGCATAAGAAAAACAAAACTCTAAACTCCCATTTATCAACCAAATGTGGGAAATTTTCATATGATACCAAATGTAATTTATTTTTATTTTTTTCCATCTTTAATTTTTATTGAAATGTCATCACAGTGGTTCACATAGTAATACATAAATACGTTGGTTTCAGGACAGGTAAAGCATGCATATATTGGTGAGCGGCAAATAACATAACATAGATTAACATGTGAATTTAGCATATTTATTGTTTGGCATACATTTAATAACATCTCGGTGGGTTATTTGATAAGTAGTGCTCCACCATCATGCCTTGCCACCTACGTTTGCATCTTCTCTAGCTGTGCTGTCCTTTTTTACTCTAACATAAGCGTGAAAGTTCTTTTTTTATCATAAACATAGGGGAAAAAGGGGAGGGGTGGGTTCCAGAAAGCAAAAGGGGGGGAGGGGCTAGAGTTCATGCTTCACTGTATTTGACAGCGTTACAGTTATCATACATCATTTAGTTTGACTACCTTGGTCTTCTTGACCTCTCAACAGGTCTGCTCTATTGGCTTTTATCACATCTTATACAGATATCCAGCATCCCCAGTCCTTTGCAAATTTTTCTGTGTTCATATGAGCAAATTACATCTAGTTTTTGTTTAACGACTGCCACAGAGGGAGTTGTTTTACTTTTCCAATGCAACGCTACATTGACCTTGGATAGTGTCAGTATTTTTATGATCACTTTTTTGTGGGGGTGTCCCACCAATGTGGGCAGCATGTGCAGGAGGTAGTGTTCTGGCCTACGTGCTAGTCTCACTTGTGTTTTGCTTAGGATCATTGATTCTACTTGTTCCCAATAGTTTTGTAGGTCTGGGCATTCCCAGAACATGTGTAGTATTGTTCCTACCCCTCTTTTGTACCTCCAGCAGATCTCAGAAGTCCCTGGGTACATGCGGGCTAGTCTGTGCGGCACTAAATACCCTCTCATAGCTATCTTACAGTATGCCTCCCACAGCGAAAGGCTTCTGGAGGATTTTTTTGTCATTGCCATGGCTTCATGCCATTGTTCTATGGGGAATTTCATACCCAATTCCTTCTCCCACTGAGACATGTATGGTAGTTTCGCATGAGCCGGACCCCCCAGGATAGCATTGTAGCAGAGTGAGAGGGGCTTTGACTGGTTTGGAGAGAGCATTTGAGGGAGGGGCATTGGTGCAAATTAGTGTTAGTCGGTTTGTCAATATGTTTTTTACTCTGAGATGTAAGAATAAGTCTCTTGGTGTCAGGGAATATTGTAATTGGAGAGCCGGAAAGGTTCTTATATCATCCCCCTCTAACAGGTCTCGTACCTTGAGTGCCCCCTTCTCTTTCTATGTTTTAATCGCTAAGTCTGGTGGGAGAGTCGCTAGAGATTCTACCGGGGCTGCCTTAAGTAGTTCCTTAGTGGATAATATACTTGGACTCCAGGCTACCCAGGAGGAGAGCAAAAAGTCAGTGCAATGTAGCGGCCTCGCACCTGCCTTCTTGTGGTTTGTGCTAACCCATAGGGAGTGAGTTATGTCGTATGGACATAAGCATGCGTTTTCTAGTGACAACCAGACAGGGCTTTGTTGTGCCTGTGGAGCTTTGAGGAGTCTTATACCCTGCGCTAGTATTGATGCTCTGTAATATGCTTTTATGTCAGGTAGTCCTAGACCACCCTTCATGTATGGGAGCCCCAGTTTGTGACATGCAATTCTGGGAGGCTTTTTATTCTAGACTTGTGCATTAATTGTGGATTGCAATCTGTTCACTAATTTGGTTGGTAATGTTATGGGTAGCGTACGAAAGAGATATAGAATCAGCAGGAGTGTCATCATTTTAAGGGAGTTAATGCGACCCAGCCACGAGATCTCCAGTGCGGCCCATTGTCCCAGGTTAGTTTCGACTTTCTTCAGTAATGGTATGTGGTTCTCTTGGGGAATGGCTTGTTTGGTTTTGGTCAGTTGTATACCTAGGTATTGTAGTGATTTTTTGCGCCAATCAAAGTTGAATTTGCTCTCAAGGTGTGTGATTGTAGCTCGTGGTAGGTTAATGGGTAATGCTTGGGTCTTGGCAGAGTTGTTTTTATAGTAGGACACCATCCCGTAGTGTCCCAGTAGGCCTATTAAATGTACGATAGATGATTTTGGTTCAGTTAAAAATAGAAGTATGTCGTCTGCGAAGAGGGCTATTTTTTTGGGTCCCTCAGGTGTGTCTAGGCCTGTTATCTGTGGGTTTTGTTTGATGAGGCGCAGGAGGGGTTCTAGACATAGTATGAAAATGAGTGGTGACAATGGGCAGCCCTGTCTCGTCCCGTTTTGGATGGTGAAGGGTTTGGATAGAAAGCCTGTGCTAAATACTTTGGCTGACGGGTCCCGATAGAGAGCTTTAATGCTAATTAGGAATGAGAATGGGAATCCCATTCTGGATAGGGTTTGTTCCATGCATCCCCAGTGTAATCGATCAAACGCTTTTTCCGCGTCAAGCGCCATTATGAGACCCTCCTGTGAGTAGTGGTTTGTCCAATCTATTAGGTTAACAAAATGCCTTGTGTTATCCCCCACCTGTCTCCCGGGTACAAATCCTGCCTGTTCCTTCGAGATTAGATCAAGTAATAGCGGCTTACTACGTCCTGCAATTAATTTAGCGTATAGATTTAGGTCTGCGTTTAGAGGGACCGAAGGTTTGTGCAAACTG